AAGGAAGCAAACAATAAAAAATGGAATGATATTATAATGGCGGCCGACAAGACTAAAGACACAAAAACATTTTGGACTTCCATAAACAAGATGATGGGGCACAACAAGCAAAAACCACCATACATTAAAGACCAAAATAGAATAAAACTGCACGAGGAAAATGAACAAGAGTCAGCATTCAAAAAGGAATGGGTAAAAGTTTTTAAAATATCAGATGAGGAAAATGAAAATTTTGATAGGGAACACGAAGAAAGGATAGAAGATGAAATGGGAAGACACATACTGTACATAGAATCACCCCAAAGCAATATATAGACTATAACTTATTACCTAATAATCAAAATAATAAACTATGGGAGAAATGATGCACTGTCTGAGGAAATTTATGAAAAGCCCCTGGCTCACAGGTATTACACTTAAAATATGATCATGAATCTACCTGAAAAACATTTTAAATACACTATTGCATTTATAACGCATGCTTTCATTAACCGGTTACTTCCAGACAAACTAAAATATGCTAAAATGATATTTATTCCTAAGGAGGTAAGGACAATAAGGAAATATTAAACTACAGGCCAATATCTTTATTAGAAATTACCGGAAACTATTGGAAAAAATATTAAATTCAAGACTTATAGCCTTTTTAACACAAATATGGGGAAAAACCAACACAGACAACATGGATTTATGCCCAATAGAAATAATCTAACTGCAATAGCTACAATAACGGAAATAATTGCAATTGAAAAAAGAAAGGGGAACCAGATCAATATAATTTTAAGGGACGTTTCTAAGGCTTTTGATAAAGTTTGGCATTTAGGCTTAAAATATAAAATATTAAAATTGGGACGTAACGAATACTTGCTAAGAATATTGTGTAACCATTTAGATGATAGGCGAGCACAAATTCAAATTGGAAACTTTATGGGAACTATGTTTAATCTTGAGAGTGGAGTACCTCAAGGAGGATGTCTTTCTCCAACACTATATAAATTTATACCTCAGACACACCTTAACCTACCCCCTTTAGCGAATATGTAATGTTTGCTGATGATATTACTAAAATAGTATCATACCCAGGAAAATCAACCCAATTTATGGCACTCTACACGGTAAGAGCGATAAAAAATATAAATGGTTTTGAGAAAAAATTGAAAATGAGAACAAATAAGAACAAATTCAAGATAATACCAATAGCCAAGATCAAAACAAGTCCAGTAATAGTCGACCAGGAACTATACCCATACGACACTGAAGGCAGGATGCTTGGACTAAAACTAACAAAAAGAGGATATATAACATACTTAAAAGATAAAGAACGAATAGATTATCAAAAATAAAACGCTTTAAGAACCTTAGCATAAATAACAAAAGAAAGATTTATATTGCCCTTGTCAAATCAATTATGGACTACCCACCCATCCCATTGAACACCCTTAGAAAGAGGGAGGTCACGGCGGGGTGAGGTCTTATATAACATGGGTAGGCGTGGGTTGATAGTTGACCTCCGCCTTGTTAGGCGGCGCTGGTTGCCGACCTAGACTACGAGGCGTACGCTGTGGAATTCGAAGAGGGTCGGCTACTCAGCGACAAACGGCGTTTGTAGGGGAGGAATCCACTACACTATCACCTAAGCACAAGATACCAGATGAACAACGTTGTTATAGAGAAATACGACTGAGAGAAAGATTTAGGAGTAATGATAAGTAGGAATCTTAAACCAGGTCAACAATGTGTATTTGCTCGAAACGAGGCTAACAAAATACTTGGGCTCATACAAAAGAGAGTTAGTTACAAGACTAGCGAGGTCATCTTCAAGCTATACCCTGAGCTTGTGCGACCTCACTTGGATTATGCAGATCAGTTCTGGTCACCGTACTACAGAATGGACATAGAATCCTTGGAAAGAATTCAGAGGAGAATGATAAGACTAATCCCGGGCATTAGGAACCTTGAGTATAGAGACAGGTTAAAGCATCTTAATTTGCACTCCCTTGAGAGACGTAGAGCGAGGGGCGACCTGATAGAGGTGTATAAGTGGAAGGCAGGGCTAAACAAAGGGGACATTACAAAGGTACTCAAATTATCCAACCAGGAGCGAACTTGTAACAATGGTTTTAAATTAGACAAATTTAGATTTAGGCGTGAAATAGGTAAACACTGGTTTGGAAATGGAGTAGTAGATGAGTGGAACAAGCCATACAAGAATAGAAGAAACTGCAGCAGGCCTATTGGCCAAGGCCCGTCCTTAGGGGGCCCACTAAACCCAGTGACCTCGGACACGTTACCTGTGTTACCTGTTGACTGGTTAATCTGACCTGACGACTTACGCCACCATCGCAACCGTGACCTTACCATCCATAGCGACAGTCCATAATCCATTGCACTCCACTCCACACAGCCAGTCCACCAGGGTCAGTAACCAGTGAGATCAGGTTGTATCTTGTCCTGTGAGCTGTGACACCTGCCTTTTGAGTTTTGTGGATATACTTTTTTTGTGTAAGAAACATGGCAAGCAGAGACAGAGACAAATACAGAAAATACATCTCGGGGGCAGTGAATAGGCAAAAGAAAAGGAAACAAGAAGAAATTGATAATGTATTGAAAGGTTCCCTTGACAAATTTATGTTACCAAAAATTCCAGAAACTACTGCAAGTGACTGTGTTAGTGTGAATTGTATAAAAGGAAAGGAAGAGGACAGTGGTGAAAAACAGAAGAAAGCTTTAAAGATGGACAGCTCAGACCATAACCGTGATACTGAAGATGATTTATGTGATCCAGCCAACTGGCCACAGCTTCTGGACAGTAGAACAATGAACTACTTGGTAGGAAATGGACCTGTGAAAGTTACTAGTTAAAATTATACTTTTTCCTAAAAATAGTGAAAATCGGCACTTCTCAGAAAACTTTTACATGAGAAAATTACCAAATGGAGAAACATCTGAAAGACGTTGGCTTATATTAAAAAATTGACGAGTGAAAAGAAAAGGACAACAAGAAATAGGTGAGAATAATTCAGAAAACTCGTCTGAGAAAGCATTTGAAAGAAATTACTTTCTTGTTATCATTGATCAGGCAATAATGTCACTGACAAGAAGATTCAAGCAGCTGCAAGAGTATGACACTCACTTCGGTCTCCTGTATGACTTGGAGAAACTTCGAGATATGAAAGAAGACTACATCATGAAAGAGCGATGTATAGCTTTGGATAATTCATTGAGCGTTGAAAATTCTCACGATATTGATTGTGCAGACCTTTTCTCAGAGCTTCTAGTACTCCAAGAACTTATTCCTCAAGAAACAAACAGTGCACTTCAAGTCCTTCAGATTCTCAAGTCTCTAAATGGTTCCTTCCCTAAGGCAGAAATAGAAATGTAGGATTTTATTGACAGTTCCAGTCACAGTGGCATCAGGGGAGCGGAGTTTTTCCAAGGTGAAATTAATAAAAAACTATCTAAGAACAACTATGTCTCAAGAGAGATTGAATGCATTGGCTATGCTCTCCATCGAAAAGGAACTAGCAGAAAGTTTGGAATATCAAGATTTAATAGCAGAGTTTGATGCAGTGAAAGTTAGGAAAATGGGGTAATTTAATCCCCAGGTAAGAAGGGTTGGTTCAGGCCAAGGTTGGGTCAGAAGATTATCCCCAGTTGACAGACGGCTTGGGTCAGTCAGCCTCCACGTGTGTATATTGTGTAATATTCTGTCTCTTTCATTACCAATTGAGAAGGGCTCGTGATGAGCCGAAACTGTATTGGTGTTTAAAATAAAATTTAAGTCTCTATGAAGTATGGCATATATATATATATATATATATATATATATATATATATATATATATATATATATATATATATATATATATATATATATATATATATATATATATATATATATATATATATATATATATATTCAGACTTACAAAATGGATCCGCAACCACAAAGGGGTCCTCAGAGCAGTCCCACAAACGGAAAGAGCCATGGAAGTGAAAGAAGTACTTTTGAAGGATGACAGACTCCCAGCTGAGCGAGCATTGGGAATCATGTGGGATCTAGAGAATGACGAACTTGCAGTCCCAATCCAGATCCTGACGAAGCCATAAACGAAGCGAAGATGAAGGACTCAGTGTTAATACGTCCAGTGACAAAGCTCTGCCTATTGGAGGGAGTCGGAGAGTGAGACTCCCGGCAGACACTGGGTTTCGAGCAAGCTCAACAGGGGGAGTGTTACCGCCACAGTAGGATAAACTAGAAGGGAGAGAGAGAGAGAGAAAGGGAGACAGGAGAGAGACAGAGGGAGTGTTGACAACGAGCTTTGCTGAGGTGTTAAATATGAAAAAGATGGCCCTCGCCTCTGGTTGACTAGCTCGACTAGTCTCTAGCCATCCAATGAGCTATCAAGTCAGGGAGCTAATAAGTCCTACATTAGACCCGAAACACGTAAGGTTTATATGGTTTATCACCGCACTCTACTCAAATATATTATATGTAGTTGTTAATAGTGAAGGAACGTACGAGTGAATTAATTATCTCATACGTAACATGTGTAATTTGTGCTCTGCAGATTTTGACCGAATAAAGAACAATCGAGTCCTTCGTGCTAGGGTCTCATTATTCCACAGTCGCTCATTGGGCGGTTACATCGGCTAAGATGTTAATATATGCCATGATATCTGTTAAAGGCTTAATACGTACTTCAATCTTGACACCAGGAAACCTGCTCATTTATGAACAAACATACACATACACACACCTTCACGTCTGCATGCACTTATGTACATGCTTATTGAAATGAAAAACAAACAAACATGGTTTACTATAAAATTCTTGTTCTTTACAGCAAATGATAGACGTGAAGTCCCCACGGTACCAGTTTTCTATGCGGCTATTGAGAAGTCCAGCTCCCCTTATGAGTACCAGCGTCCATACACCAACCCCAGCACTCTCACCCCACCCACCGCCGCCATCCAGTACAACCAAATCAACGTGACCAGTTCACCCTATATGTACCATCACCCTGAACGCCACCCCAGCTCCCTTTCTCCTCCAAAACATCAAATCAACTATGCCCCTCAGCTGTACCAACACATCTATTACCCGAGTGACCTGTACATGAAGGACTCTTAAGGTATCAAGAAGAGCACTACCAAGCCACTCAGAATTTAGGTGATTGTTAACTGATGATGAGTGTAGAAGCCAATATATATATATATAAAACATGACGGATCTTGCATGAAGAATATTTATATATATATATATATATATATATATATATATATATATATATATATATATATATATATATATATATATATATATATAATATTTAGTAAGAGTATAAAAGAGAGGAAGATTTTGGTAGCGTGGCCGTGTTAGGTACTTTCCTGTGTCAATACACTCTTCTTATCTCATATGTCAAGACACATCTATTACGTCTTAAGGGCGACTTCTCAAACACCGCTTCGTTACAACTCTATTAATTACGAACATGACATGGACACATTAATAACACCTTCTATTGAAGTTACTAGGACACTATATTTACGTTACTTGGACATCATATTACGTTACTAGACACTGATTCTCGGACACGAACATGAAATGAATACACTTCCCACGTAAGTAACTCATCCCATGGAAAGCTCTGACAAACACTCACGTGACCTAGGGGAGGCCTAGCAGGGAAACTGCTTAGCTGGAACACTGGTGTCGGGAGGGCGACTGCTTAGCTGGGACACTGGTGTCGGGAGGGCGACTGCTTAGCTGGGACACCGGAGGGAAGTCTTGCGTGACTCTCCTCCCATGAGCGGGACTGGGCTGTGGTGGACCTCCTCCTCCGATCCCTGTGTGTCTCTCTCTCCCCGACTCTGTCTCTCTGACTCCCTCTCGCTGCTCCCCTGAGGGAGGGCTACGAGCGGGACTGGGGACGTAGTTGCTGGCCCTTCCTGGTTAAAAGACACACACTCGTGAGGGAGGACTAGGACGTCCTATATATTGGAAGACCAGCCGTCAGGTTGAGCTGATCAAGGGGGCGGCGAAGGGTCTCCTTACATTTGCCCTCGCTAATGTAGGGTCAGGTCTGGACTTTTTCTGAGACTATAAGTTGTTGTATATTCTGGAGAAATCTTCAGATGAATGCTTGCCTGTTAACATCGTTGGTGGGGCCATGTGACATGAGAGGCTCTGGTTGATTTGTGGCCCCTTGACTTGGGCTCGAGGGTTACATTTTACCTGGTTAATGTGAGGATAGGTCTGGGCCTTGTCTGGGATGTACTGTAGGTCTCTTGTGTAAATTGGGGAAGGACCGGCAGGTGGCTCCTTTGCTCAATGTGTGTCTTACATATTTGTTGGGGCCGTGTGACATGTGGAGGGGAGCCTGGTTGATTTGTAACCCTTGGGCAGCCGCGAGGGTTACCCTTACACTTGACCCCCCCTAATGTCGGGTCAGGTCTGGACTGTTTCTGAGATGTAAGCTGTGGTCTGACACCCCATCACTACATATATATATATATATATATATATATATATATATATATATATATATATATATATATATATATATATATATATATATATATATATATATATATATATATATATATATATATATATATATATATATATATATATATATATATATATATATATATATATATATATATATATAGCATAAGGACCAATTTGACCGACCATGTCAGTAAAATTAGGGACGCAATGTACTAGTTCTTCAGCAAACTTGTTTTGCAACAGTACAAATCAGTTAAGTAAGGACTATCTCAAGTGTACAAATTAGTTTTGTGTTATTGTAGTATTAGACGTAAATATGTACTAACTATTAAGAATATAATCCGACAATAATATACTGGAACACTTTAGCAGCACACATCTAGTCTTAAATTCAGTAATCTTTGGGCACAGTACTATAGTGGGCTCTAAAAACGACTGATATGTAGATATACTGTACAGTATAGGGAAAGGGAGATATGTCTACCATTTTTACCATTACTTGTAAATTTGAAATAAGTAACTCCAAGTACAAGCAGGTTGATTCATATTAGTGCCCAGTAGCCTCAGCACAGTTGTGGCGGGAAGTCTTACGCTAATGTAAACAACAACAAACTTATCTCAGCCGCCACACAACAAAAAAGGATAAAATGTATAGTAATAATATTAATGAGTGAATGAATCGTTAATTTAAGCAATAATATATTTGTGAAACTGAAATTCTACTGTGATATCTGCTAAATTTACCACTTTAACTTTTCTTATTTGCATTTTGTTGGACATACTTGCTGAACTTAAATTTTGCTGCTATGATATAGCCAGAATTAGGCTAGGATACAGACACATCTGGCAGGTTAGTAACGCTGTACCCTTACCGGAACACTCAGCATGTAAACTTTGTGATAAACCTTTAAAGCATACACCTGAACACTATAATATTGAATGTGACACTGTCAAAGACTTCAGGCCACCTGACTTATTGTATCTTGAACTTTGTAATTATTACATTGAATCGGGGGTGCTTGAGGACATTCTTGCTGTTTATCCCAAATTTGATAGCCCACACTGATTAGTCTTCGATTAGAATATTACGTCCAATGTATGTGAACCACTGTCCTATATATACTGCTAATGAATATGATGTATTTCTTTGTGTACGAACCTCTGTCCTGCATGGCAGTGAACAGTGACATTACCCACATGAATCTGACCTCTATATATATATAGCTGTTAATGAATATGTTGTATTTCTTTGTGTATGAACCTCTGTCCTGCGTGGCAGTGAGAAGTGATACCACCCTCAGTGTCAAGACCTGACTGAATTACTTAGACTAGGCAAACTGTACTACAAGCTTTGTCAATAAATTTGTTAAACTAAAAAAGCTACGATATAACTGAATGTCTGGCCTAGTGAACATGACATAATCTTTACTGTATCACATGCATTGGTTTTATACTTTGTAAAATTATCTTTTTTTAGTGTATTTTGATGATATTGTTTTGCCAAGGCATTATTTCGTATTATAATTTTGTAATCTAGGTGTTTTTATTGTTTTCTGTTAAATGCAGCAGCTATTTTGGCAAATTTAGTGAAATTTTCGTGTATATATTGATGTATTAATTATGTGTTACGAGTGAGAGTTCCATTGTTGATTGTGGATTCGCAACGTGAACGTCTTTTGTTTGTGATGTCATTTCTGCTCGCTTTGTTTACTTCCCAAGCCGCGTGACGCTAGTATTGGGCCGGCAGTGATAAGTTGAGTACAGAGTATCTCCTTTCCTATTGTACAATATATTTCTAGTGGTATAACGTGTAAACCTTGCTCGACTTTTAGAACGCCAAGTATATTATTTGTGTAAGATTGTTGTTAATCATATTTTAGAGTTCCACGAAAAATAACTTACTTATTTACAAGGTTTGCCCGTGTGGTGGATATACCACGTTTTTCATGTAGTCACTAAGCTAAATAAGTGTTTAATTTTTACTTTTATGTTCATTATTTTGTTACTCGGTTGAGTCACTTACTTGATCAGATTTAATTTGCATTTATTTATTTTGGACATAACTGATATATTTATTTTATTGTTTGTTTGTTAATATATTCTGTAATTAAATTTACTCCGTGAATTTCAATATACCCCATAGTAATGAGGTGATGATTTTGGTGGGATCCATTCCTTGGACCTATAATACAAAGAGAAGTTGAATTTGTGATTTTGTTACAACCTAAGAGGCCTAGGGTCGTAACATTATGTATGAATATTCTAGAATGTATTGCACCATTTGAGTGCTGATTTACTTATTTAAGCCTCGATCAGAGTAGAACGTTCTAGAATCTCCCAGGCGTCTCTGGGTGATTCTAGGATTTTTGAGAAGCATCTGACGAGGCATATATAAGCAGACACGGGCTGCCTGGTCCCCATACGAGTGACAGCCGAGGTACACTCTACACCGAAAAGGCCACCAGGGAACCAAAGATACCGTCAGCTCCCAGAAAGAAACTGGACGTTTCAGCTCCCCTGAACCAAACCACGGCCCAGAAGGCAAAAAGCACCACAGAACAAGAAGATATGAACCTGATGCAGACGAAATCAGACCTGAACATATCCATTGAGGACCACCAGAAGTCCCCGATGAAACAGTGGTGGAAAACATCAGCACCCTGAACTTCCTTTCATGGAATGCTCAGGGCATCAAAAACAAGAAACACCTCCTGCAAGAAGCAGCAGCCAAGGACAAGCGTGACATTATACTGCTACAAGAAACACTCCTCCAAGAACACCACTGTTTCAAATTCAGTGGCTACAAGACATACAGGAGGCATTTCATGCAGGTGTCGACAAGAGGATGTATGATTTTGGTCAAGTCAAGCATACCCTCCTCCGAGGTCATGCAGCATTTGCCATGTGGGGAAACCATTAAGACACAGGCCGTCAAAATAACCCTCCAAGAACGGGATATAACTGTCCACAACATCTACAAGAACCCAAGGGGCTCACTGGAGGTGACTCAATTATTCGCTTCAGCCGCTGACCACGCCACACTCATAGGAGGGAATTTCAATGCACATCATCCTTTCCTAAGCTCGGTAAGCCCCACAAATGAAGACGGCCTACACCTATACACCACCTTTCAAGACACACCCGAGATCGCCCCCCCCTAAACACTGGAGAGCCCACCCACATTAGGGGAGGAAGGCTAGATCTAACCTCCGTCTCTAGTGCACTACAGTCTTCGGCCTCTTGGTAGCTACACCCCACGCTGACCAGCAACCACTTTGCCACCCTAACAACACTGAAGGTGAACAAATTCCCCACTCCACCCCCGCCGAGATGGAGATACAATACCCAAAAGGTAGACTGGGAACTCTATAGGAAACACCTGGCTAAGTGGTGTGCCAAATCACAGCTGGACGGTGCAGCACCCGTGGACGAGACAACCCTCCACCAACAATTGGTCGAGGCGTTTCACCAAGCGGCAGAAGAGGCTATTCCAAAAACAAAACCTACATCAGACAGTACAAGGATTACTGGTACTACTGTCCCAGGGTGAAGGAACTCAACCACAGAATGAACATGGCCCGAAGAAACTACAGAAGACATCCCACGGACACAAACAGACATCTCCTGCAAGACATAGTCAAGGATACCACGGAAGAAAATGGAAGAAATCAAAAGCGCAAGCTGGCTCAAGTGGTGCTCCGAACCGAACGAGC